ATGTAATGCTAATTACTAGATTCTTCTGCCTCCCCTAAGTCACTCTGACTTAGGAGTTTGAGGTGGGATTTGCACTAATGTGGAGGATTGAGTGAGACACACAATAAAAACAGGAAAATATATGTTGGGGGAGGGGAAATAGCCCTAGCAAATCTGGAGATGTAAAGTCCTGTGAGTTCCGTGGTGGCATTATGAATGTTCACTAGACCAGTGTGAGGACAGCGCAACATACTAGAGGATGAGGAGGAGGGACTAGAGAAATTGTTTCATAGGGAAGCCTGGGGAAATATTTTTTCCCATATTCTTTATTAGTGCATTCTAGTTGTACATACTGAAGGGATTAGTTGTTGCATATTTGTACATGCCACACAATATAACAATATAATTTGAACAATGTCACTCTCCAGTATTTTCTCCCTCCCTCCCCATCTTCTACCCCTTTGTCCTTCCTCAGATCTCCCTTTGATTTTCATGAGATCTGCCCCCATCTTTCTTTTTCCTTTTCCTCTCTAGCTTCTGCCTATGAGAGAAAACATACAATTCTTAATCTTGAGTTTGACTTATTTGGCTATATAATATAATGATCTCTAGTTCTATCCATTTTCTTGCAAATGACATAATGGATGAATATATATATATATATATATATATATATATATATATGTGTGTGTGTGTGTGTGTGTGTGTATATATATATATATATATATCACATTTTCTTTGTCCTTTCTTCAGTTGATGAGCACCTAGACTGATTCCATAGTTTGGCTATTGTGAATTGTGCTGCTATAAACATGGGTGTGTATCACTGTAGTATGATGATTTTAATCCTTTAGGATAAATATTGAAGTGTAGAATAGCTGGATTAGTGTTTCCATGTCTAGCCCTTTAAGGAACCACCATACTGATTTCCATAGTGGTTGTACTAATTTTGGGGAAAGACTGAATACAGCCCTGGTCTTAGTGTGGCAGCATAATTGTGAAATATTCCTAGCAAACCTGTGTGCAGTCCTCAAATTCAATGTGACATAGTTTGCAAAATTGTGTACATATTATGCAAGCATGCATACACACACACACGAACAGTAAAATCTGTCCTAAAATATTGAACTCAGATAATTCAAAGTTGTATTGTAGAGCAATCGTTCTCCAACCTGAAAATCCAGAAAAGTACCCTGGGGTGCTTATGAAAATCTGCATGGTTGGGCCCCAGCCTTAGAGAGACTGAGTCAGTACATCTGGGATGTAGCCCAAGTATTTGTTGTTTTAACCAGCTTTTGGGTGATGTTGATATAGCTACTCTGGAAACAACTCTGTGCTTGACACTGATGTAGGACAGATTGTGACTTGGCCATGAATACAAGATAAGAGGTTCAGCACTTTAACATTACTGTCAGAAGCTTCCTGAAATTCATGTCACATATTTGTGTTCCTGTCTCCAGCTTTGTCCTCCCCACCCTGTTTCATTCAAGGCTGTACCCTCAGCCATAGTGGTGTCTCAAAAACCTAAATGTGCTCAATCACTGCTGCTTAAAAATGTTAGTGGTTCCCTTTGCCTTTGTGCAGTGTATGGGTCCTTTCACAGCCCTTCTTAACTCTTCAATTCTATACTATGCCTCTTATAGGATAGCTTGTATTACCCCAAAAGAGCTACAATGTCTGTTACCTACATCTGGAATGCCAATTCTATTTCTCCTCAAATTCAACTCCATGGGAAGGCCTTTCGATACTTTAGGCAATGTCCCTCAAGGATCCAGGTCATGCATTCTTGCACAGGGTAGAAATGGCCTTGGTGGCATGGCTGAGCCCTCCAGTATACTGAGAACTTTTTAAAAACAAGCACAGAGTCTTGGTTTTCAGTGCATGAATAAATAATTTCATAAATTATCATTGAACTTGTGTTATTCCAGACCTGCCTGGCAAGAATTAACAACCACACCTGCTCTTCCTAGGGCAAAAGATTGTGTGCTTTCTTAAGAATCTGAGCTACTGTTGGAAAAATTCACTCACAAATAGCATAAGAAAATGACAACATGCCATTAATAACCCAGAAGAAGCTGTATCTGTTTTAAAATTTTTCCATCTGGGCATTACAAACCACAAAAGCAACTGTTTTGCTTCCACAAAGAACATATTTTTTAACAGCACACTTTCCCAAAAGGACACCTCCTCCCTCCATTCATTTTGATCTATTCTGATTTAATTTAAAGTTTGAAGATGGGGTCTGACCTTATCTATCAGTGGCTGAGCCGTTGTCTCATGGAAATGCAGTTTGAAACTCATTAATAGAGTAGCCTGTGTATTATAACTTAGAAGCTGTGGGTTATCACTGATGCTTGCAATTGCTATGGAAACCGGGTTCATATGCACCTTTCAAAGAGTCTGCTTTAAAACTGGGGGAAAAAAGATGAAGAAAAAGAAGGCTCCTTGGAAGAATAAGCTATTTAGTACCCAGCATGCATAGGCAAGTTCAGTGATGCAAAAATGCTCTGCCTACACAATGATAAAAACAATTCTTTGTATTTCTTAGGAGCTAATAATGGATAACCTTGTATTAGAGAACTGTGTTTATACTGGTGGGGAAGAACGCCTGAGGCAGCTTTCCCCCATGCCCACATGTAGACACACAGAGATACACACCAACAGTTTTCAGTTTTCCCCAGACGTTTTACAGTCTGCATTCATAAATCCTCCACAGTCATCTGCACATGCAGGTTTGGCTGCTGAAGCCCCACAAGCATAGCTGGTGGTCAAGAGCTTGGTCTATTTTGCTTCTCCTTAAATGTGTAGTTTGGAATGTTGCATCCTGTTGCTTATGTAATGAATTTTCTGATTATGAAATGTAGTGCTAATTTCATCAAGGTTCTTTTAAAAAATATTTTTAGTTATAGATGGACACAATGCCTTTATAGTATTGATTTTCTAATGTGGTGCTGAGAACAAACCCAGTGCTTCATATGTGCTAGGCAAGTGCTGTACCACTGAGCCACAACCCCAGCCCTTCATCAAATTTCTTATATGAAGTTATTTGATGTGCTCCTCCCCGAATATGCGTTTTGAAGGCTCCATCCCTCTTTCTCCTTGCGTAGATTTCTCCCTAATCCCTGAAGTGCGATGTGCTGGGGAAATAACGGCGTGAGCATAATCTTGTGGAAAAGGATTCTCCAAGTTGACCACCCCTCAATGTAGGCTCATGTGTTATTTCCTCTAATGGCCCCATCACCTCCTCATGTATGTAGTCTTTTATGGTTTGCCCCTCTTCTGTATTCCACCCCCAATTCTAGCCAAATGTTTCATCTCTTCTTCTGCTGAGCAGGAACAGGTCACTAGGGTTGGGCTCCTTCTGTCCTCACCTTTAGGAAGAAGGAACTTGGAACACAGCAGTCCTCTTCTAAAACTAGTGCTTGTTCTGCAGCCATCTGGAATGCACCTTTGTTGTTCAAATAGATATGTAACCCCAACCAAAAATCTTGTCCCTCTTTGAATACAGGTATCTTCTTCCTCAAGAGGCCTTCATAAATAACATTTCAGACATCTCCTTCAATTCTTGAGTCTCCTTTGTGGCATTCATCTTTCTCTCCCTAGCCCAGGCAATTGCCCCTGACATGTGGCTGTGCTTAATATGTGCTCACTTGTTAGCAAACACACTGTATTATTTCATATAACTGTATATGAATCTGCAATTTATATACCATTCATATACAATTTAATTCTCAATTTAAAAAAGAAAACACACAAACTTTTTGGGCTTTCTTCTGTATGTATTCAGGAACTATATTACTGATTTTCTTTTTCTTTCATGAAAAATGGAGAAACTCATTTGACGTCTAAAAACTAATTGGATCAAACAATAAGCTAACAATAGCAAGTTGTAAACCAAAATGTTTTAGCTTAGTAGCTGAATTTTCTTTCTTGTATATAGCCCTCTGATATTCAATCTATTTTCTTCACACACTGGGAAACTGAATAGACCATGATTGTCAAAATAGAAATGATACTGCTGCAATAAAATAAAATATTTGAGGGAAAGAAGATTTCCTAATGCCATGACAATCTATAATACTTCATAAAGGATTGGGTATGTACTGGGTTAACAGGACTGACGAAACAAAAGATAAAGGTTAGGACATATATCAGAAGGGAACATTGAGATAACATTATAATTTTAAAAATTACACCAAATTTGCCCACCTAGTGACTATAAAACTAGGGTATTGTTCCAATCATAACCTGACATCTCCTCATAAAAATGGCTGCTTTTGATTTTTTTATTGGTTGCTCAAAACATTACAAAGCTCATGACATATCATCTTCCATACATTTGATTCAAGTGGGTTACGAACTCCCATTTTTTACCCCAAATACAAGTTGCAGAATCACATCGGTTACACATCCACATTTTTATATAATACCATATTAATGACTGTTGTATTCTGCTACCTTTCCTATCCCCTACTATCCCCCCTCCCCTTCCCTCTCATCTTCCCTCTCTACCCCATCTGCTGTTGTTTAATTCTCTCCCTTGTTTTTTTTCCCCTTCCCCCTCACAAACTCTTATATGTAATTTTGTGTAACAATGAAGGTCTCCTTCCATTTCCATACAGTTTCCCTTCTAAAATTGTCATTTCCTTGTAAATATTGAATTAAAATTGAGAAATTTTAAAGGTACTAAGCTAAGGAAATTCAACAATAAATCTTATAATGTATTCTATCTCATTTAAACAGTAAAATCATCCTGAAGACAAGTTGTTTTCAGCCTAAATACCAACCCAGACAACCTACCATATCAATTGTATTTGATTTAACAAAATCTTTTCTGTAAAACCTAGTACATCTAGAAGTGAATATAAATTTGTCCCCATTTAAGCCTTCAACACACTAAAAAACTATATACACATTAACCAGTAGATTTATAAAAGTGATGTGGTTTTGGACTAATGTCAAAATCTACATTTGTAGCAAAGAATTAGGCGCAAGAACAGATAGCCATTTTCCACCAAATCTATTATTTTTTAAGATTACCATTTAATTTCTGGTAGTACAATTTAACTGATCGGCAAATCAGCAGTTAAAGCATGAATATGAAAGAGAAGAAGCATTTTGATAGTAATTCACGGTAGCAAAGGTCTTCTAGGCGTTGCATGACTGCGTGTGTAGTTCTTCCGTTGTGTGAGCTTCTTCTGTAGTAGTCTTTTCTTCATTTGTAAAATGTAGACTTTCTTGATTTTTATCTTCTTCTGCTTCAGCTTGTAGGTCTTCTGAAATTAATTGTCTAGCTAACTTGATGTTCAGTCCTTCATTGTAATGAAGCTTCCTTTTCATCTCAAACTGTCGCTGTTTCTCTTGTTTGTCGAGAAGGTATTTGCTCGTGTGCGCTTCACTGCTGTCTTGCTCTTCTTCCTGGCAATGGGGCCCAAATGCATCAGTGGCTGCTAGTTTCTTAGCTAAGATGTCTGGAGTCATGTCTTCTTTTGCTTCGACTTCACTGGGATCTTCCCCATCATCTTGTACACTAACGCAGAGAGTGCCAGGCTCGTTTATCTTCATTAAATCATAGTCTCTGTATGATGAACGGTGCGTCGCCAGAATGTTGGATTCATCCCACCTCTGAGATTTCTTTCGCTGCACCTCCTGGGTAGCACCTCCTGATGGCTGGGCAGGAGATGCTACCGAGGAACTGGTGGAAATTTTGTTTTTCAGGATTCCCTTGATCGGCCGGTGGGAGGTGGTGGAGGCTGCCATGCTTGGCGAGCAAAAGGTTGGGGCCGCAGAGCAGCCGCCCGCCTCGCTCGGGCTGAAACAGCAGCCCGAACTGTCTGGCCAGCATCTCCCAACACCCCAATGGTCAGCACCATGGCCCAGGCATCACAAAGGATACCACAAGCCTCTTCACAATGCTACCTTCCTCCGTCACAGCCTATGTCACTGCCAAGGTCACCAGCTACCGACGCAAGCAGGCGGCCATCTTTTTTTTTTTTTTTTTTAAACGAAATAAGATAGGAAATATGGAACTTCACCACACTTCGTCTACAGAGAAACTATGTAAAATGTATTGGCTACTGTCAAAATTTGAAAACCACTACTTTGGAAAGATGGGAGGCATCCGCCAGAAGGTGATAACTCTCCTCTTTTCTCCTGTTCTTCCTCTCCCACTCTCTGTTTCAGAGAATGGCCCCAACATCAGCCTCTTTGACCACCTGGTACCTGAATGTGGTTCTTGGTCCCTTCAGATTGCTCACTCTCCAATCCAGCCCTATGACGCTGGCCTAAATATTTCAAGAAATTCTCATTTTATCTCTTCTGCCACTGCCCAATCTCTTATCCACCATCTGGCCACAGTGATCTTCTTAAAGCACCCATCAGACCTTGTCATGTCTTTCAAACCCTTCAAAGGCTGCCCATTATCTCTAGTATGAGGCTGAAAGGAGCTGTATCATCTGTTCAGTGTGTGAAGACAGCTATTTGAAGCTTTCTTCCCAAAACTTCTCTCCACCCTACCTCCACTTTTCTATTATGGCCTTTCAATTCTGAGAGCATTGATGGTACAAGTACCCCTTTCCAGATTCTTCCTACAGCCTGGAGGGCCCCTTCAGATTTCAGCTCAGTCTTTATTGGTTTGTGGTATCCATTTCCCGTCCCCCAAAGCAAATAGTCCTCCCTTTACTTTCATGGTATATTCTGTTCTCCTTGGCAACACTTGGAGTCATTTGTAATACATTACTTGTGTACTTTAGATGATAAATGCCAAGAGGAAAAAGAAACTCAGACTCCCTCCTTTGACCAAACTTTAATCAGTTTCCTCTGAGCCCTCTTAGGCTTCCTTGCTGTGCTTGTCAACTTAATGAAAACCCCTACCCTTAGTGATATTCCTGGCTCCTGACTATCCTGAATATCTATCCAAATTTCACATGCCCCATACTAGATATTTGATTACCCTGGCCTGCCTTAAGCAAGAATCCTATTGGTTCAGTCTAGCAAGAATTCCTCCTTACCCTTGTTGTTTCTTCTTACTAAATTTCCATCCACTAACCCCCACCATAATTCTTAGCTATAAAATGTCATTTATCATATTGAAGTTAAGCCCAGTTCCTCCACTGTAAATCTCCACTGTACTGGTCCCCGTACCTATTGTGATAGCCCCCTATTGAACAGAATTTTCTAAATTTTAACAAATGTTATGAATAACTTTTTTTGGCAGTTATGGTAACAGTGACTTAATATGATCAGATTCATCATTGACTCCTGAACCTCTCACCCAGAATCCCAAATGTACACCCTTGAAACCTTTGTCTTCACTTCTGCCTAACTGATCAAGGATCCTTTGGTAAGTCTGATTTCTGAACCAGTGTTCTGGAAAATGATCTGTTAAAGCATGGTGAGGATAGATTTTGGATCTTATGATTTGGAATGTGCACTTTAAAGTTGGGTTGGAGTCCTGGGTTTCTTTTGAAAGATTCCTACTTTGGCCTATTTTCTATTGCTACAGCTGAGTACCACAGAATGAGTAATTTATAAAGAATAAAGGTTTATTTGGCTCATGGTTCTGAAGACTGAGAAGTTCAAGATTGGGTATCTGCATAAGATTAGGTCCTTCCTGCTGGTAGGGACTCTGCAGCCCCAAAGCAACACAGAGCATCACATGATAAAACTCAGCATACTACTTCAGGTCTCTCCTCCTTTTATTATAAAATCAGTCTCTTTGGAGTCCCCACCCTTATCTCCTCATTTAACCTTAATTACCTCCCAGCGGCCCCATCTCCAAATATCATAGTTAGATGAAGTTTGTAACCTTTTAATACCTTCAATGGGGGTCAAATTTCAACATTAATTTTGATGGGAACAAACTATAGCAGTACTTGATGGACCAGAAGTCTTTCTTCCTGGCTTTTTTGTCTGGATTTGGGGTTACATTTATTCCCTGACTCCTGGAATTGGCTCTGGGATAGAAAATTCTTCCTGCTCAAGTGGGAATTTTTATTCCTCAAGTGGGAAATACTTCCTGACTCCCTAGACTGGAAATTTATTCCCAGAGATTTGTAAGACCTCTCTTTTGTGTTTGATTCTGCTTCTCCCATTGAAACTTCTCAATAGTCTAAAAGCCCACTTCTCAAAACCCCTGATGACTGTATATTCTGCTAGATCTGTCTACTTCCTCTCTTTGTAGACATGATTTTGCTCAGGATTATTTGTAATTTTAGTAGCCTCCTTGTAAAACTTGAGATCTCACTAAACTAGCTCCTGTAAGGCCTTTCTGTTCCTATCACCTATGCTCTTCTTTCTTTATTTTATCACCTTCAATCTTTAATTCCCTTGAAGACTGGGGATGTGGCTCAGTGGTAGAGAGCTTGCATAGTATTCATGAGGCCCTGGGTCTGATACCTAGGACTGAAAAAAAGAAAAAA